CCTACTACACGGTAACGTAGATCGATCGGGCTTGCCATGAATCATACAGCACCGTGTCAGAGAGTTTGACCTCCTCGTTGAGCGACAGTTCTGCTGTTCTTCACGTCTTCTTCTTCACGTCTTGTCTCCTTTTGGCATGATCAGCCCAACTCCAAGAACGAACGGTATGCATACACGCCAAGGCTTCAGTCGACGGCCAGCCGCTGAGCCGAAACCGAGTCCAGCCTCGCCCCAATCTTCCGTCTCGTACACAGTGCTCATACGCCCCACCGCCAGCCAGCGACAATACGATCTGAATACCCAGAACGGGAAGAATCTCGTTTTCCCTCTCCTCCACCATGTTGCCCCCTCCCCCCGCATCTGTTCCGTTGCTCCCGGTACCAAGGCATGCCGTTGCTGGCCACTAGCCAGCGTTTGGCATGGATCCCTCTCCCACTGACCCGTGCCTCTCGAGCACCGCTTGCTTTCACCGCTAACTTGATAGGTTGTCGGACCTGGCAGCCACCCGTCTTTCCCAGCAAATGGCGGGGTCAACAGCGTCCACCTTCTCGAACACGGACCAACCCAACGCTGTCCTTCACAGGCTTCACAAGCTTCACAGCCCGAGTCTGCAGGCCTATGATGTGCAACCCAGGCCATCGACCCCGTGGGGAACGGAACCCCTCACATTCCTACACACCCTCTTGGACGAGTGCCGCGGCATTATATGTAGGGGACCCTGCTCCATCAATTTCATGTGAACAGCACGGGGTCGGTCACCTGTTAACCCGACGGACCCAAGTGTCATTCAAACGTAGCTTCAATTCAGGCTGGCTTAACTAGCAATAATGGATGCTTGGCGCACGTATCTACATAACGAACGCGCACTCTTCAGGCGATGCCTGCGTGCAGAACGGCATGTGCACCGGCGCCGAGCCAACGCCTCGCGCGACCATCCTTTCGCGGAACTCTGCCAGTCGCGGCGCCGCGTCGTACTGACTCCGGTTCTGACCTGACGCATCCGTTCGCCCTGACCACAGCACCTCACCCGCGGCGCTCGTCCTCGGCCACAGAACCGTATCCAGGTTCACCGCGTCAATCGACTCACTCCACGCCGTCACTTCGCCGCCGAGCACCAGCTTGGCCTCCGCCTCCGTCAGGCCCTCCGCTGGGTCGTGCGAATAGATCAATCGCCAGCCTTTGGCAGGCGAGCACCAGTCTTGGAACGGATAGAACGCCTTGAAGGCGGCGCCGTTGTCAAAGTTGAGCCAGTGACCCCGTCCGCAGTCGAGGTACCAAAAGTTGTAGTTGCTGTCGATGACCTTGTGGCCTAGTCCCGTCACCTGCTTGATCGATGGTTCACCGAGCCATGTCTGAACGACAACGTCCTTGCCCATGGTGATGTTCCATTCGGTTGCCATCTCCTCCCAAACCATCGGCACAAGGCCATGCTTACGCACGCGCGCGTGGTTCTTGTCCATGAACCTCTGCAGCAGGGGCTGCAGGACCTGAGACGAGTTGGAGCGGACACCCTCATCCAGCATGGAATCGTTCTTGTTCAGTTCGTCACCACCAGTGTGGAAGTACGCCGTGTATGGCGCGACGCGCGGGAGCAGATCATCAAAGAGTTTATCGAGAAAACTGTCGACTGCGGTGCTGTTCAACTTGAAGGCGCCACAAGGCGGCTCGGCGCACCACCACTGGTATGGCTGTTGGTTGTACGCAACGATAAGCTCTGGGTACGCAAAGGCGATGGAGCCCGTGTGACCGGGCATGTCAATCTCGACTATGACCTGAACGCCCCTGTGAACGGCATACTCGTGGATGTACTGGATGTCTTCGGGCGTGTATGAGAGACCCTTGCGGTAGGCACCCTTGGCGGACAGATCTGGCATGGCGGGGATGTCAAGGGGCCACGACTGCGAATCGGTGGCGTGGATGTGCAGCTTGTTCATCTTGCTCCAGGAGAGAGCGTCGATTGTGCGCAAAATGTCCTTGACCGGGAAGAAGCTGCGGGCCGTATCCATGAGCAGTCCGCGATGCGGATACTTGGGCTTGTCCTCAACGGAAACGGGTGCATGCGTGGTGTACCAATCTTTGCCGGTTGTGTGCGAGTAGAAGAGCTGGGAGAAGGACTCGAGCGCGCGCAGGACGCCAATGGCGGTTGGAGCCTTGATCTCGGCGACGCCTTCCTCAGAGAGGCTCAAGGTGTACGACTCATCAATATCCTCGGCCAAGGATGTGTAGGGGCTCTCGCTGTCGTTCTTGCTGTTTTGTGTGATGCTCAACGACTTGACGCGGCCCTGGCCACTACCGTGGACATCAGGCTCGAACTGGCTGTTCTTCTCGTGGAGCATCCAGGGCACAAAGTTTTGGTGGAAGATGGAGTTCAGGGAGCGCGACACAGCGCCCTGGATGACAGCCTTGCTGCTCCAGGCGCAGCTGGTGTCCGGCTTGTAGTTGTACGTGTAGGGGAGCTGCATGTTCAAAAGGGTCTCAGCATCCTGCGCAAAGGCGCCGCCGGTGTCATGGAGGGAGGGGGAGTTCCAGCGTACAGGGTCACCATTGTAGGTTATCTTCAAGGACTCGTCTATGAAGAGGGTTGTGTTGCCCGTCGTGAGCTTCTTGGGGGCGGGCCAGATACTGGCTTGGGTAAGGCTCAAGGTGAGGGAGGTGAGGAGGATGGATGAGAGGTGCATAATGGGCAATCCAGCGGCTCGTGCTGCTGGTCCCGCGAAATGTATGAGTTGTACGTAGGCCTTTGTGTGGTGATGCGAAAATGCAAAGAGTATCACACGCCTAGTGCATGGGAGACAGAGGTAGGACGAAGGAAAGGGAAGGAAGGGGACGAGTCCATATATATGCTGTCAAACGCAAAGGAACGCAAGAGGAAAACGTGTTGTGCACGAGGAGCTAGAAAGACAATGTCGCGGCCAGCCAACGGCCGCCGAGGCGTCCCGTGGATTATCGAGTCGCGTGTAACACTTTCTCATTCGGGGAGCCTTGACGCGAGGGGGGAGGGCACGTCTAGGGAGAGGCTTGTACAACGTATGGTATGGTAGGTATGGGCACGCAGTCTTCTCGGGCACCTTTTCTGGGCGGGCGGTCGGCGACGACGAGGACGACGACGGACCAAACGGGTTGCCTTGCGATGGATGGTAAGGTTCCCTCTGCCAGCGTCGTTTCTGCGTCTGATAGGAAGATGGGACACGAATGGCAAGCCAACCAGCGGGACGAGGTTGAGGTGGTCGCGCGCCGGCAGTTGACGGGGCGCCGGTGGAATGTGGCGGGGGGGATTGGTTGTTCGGCCAGCCACTAGGGGAGGGGATGGTGTCTTTGCCTGGGGTTCTAGGGTGGTTCTCTGGGTGGGTATGTTTCTTTCTTAGTCTCTGATCTACAGCCGCATCGTCATCTCCTTTTTTTTTTTGTCTTTTCCTTCGCTTTCGCCAGGGATATGGCTGATTGGGCTGTTGGTAGAGTGGATGGAGGAGAGGGCGCGGGCACGGCAGGGCGGCGGGAAGGGGAGAAGACGAGGGGGCGGGGAGGCTCCGAGGCGGGTAGCGGCAACGTTACTTCTTGTCTTCGTTCGGGAGGCGGGGCTGAGAGCAAGGTTGAAGTGCTGTTGGGCGATTGCGAGATATCATGCGGTGTTTCGTTGCTTGAGCGGAAAGAGGGTGCACTGGGCAGGACGACAGACAGGAGGAGGGCCAAAAAGAGGCTTGAGGTTGGCTTCTCGCTACGCTATTAGGAAGGTCGTTGATTGTTGGTGGAGGTGACACTGGTCGATGCTGAGACGGGGGATGGCAGGTGATCGGTCTGTGGATGAGACCTGAGGGGAGAGAAGACGGTTTGTGAGGTGAGGTTACACCGCTTGCCAGCTCCCTACACAATGTCCCGTCATTTGGTCGGCTGGCGAGCTGGCTGACTGGGTTGCATGGCAGAGGGCATCCGGGCGGTCATGCAGGCGGCCAGCAAAGACTCGGGTTGCCGGCCTCAACATCTCGAACCAAGCCCGGTATGCCAACCAAGCCGCAGGGCAACGCCTGTCCTGCGTACGGGTGGCATCTGGTGATTTTTGATTTTTTTTTACTTTTTCCTTAGGAGGGGCGCATGCTCTCGCACTGGAGCAACAAACGAATGGCCTTCGCAGGAAGTGCTCATGCCCCCCCCCCCCCCAGATAGTCAGTTGCGAAGTCCGATCGGCATGTGTATCTGCTATTCGATTCACGCACAGGAGGGCGCCTCTCCCAATGCTCTACGTCCGGAATGTCTCCCTCACCTGACGGTCGTCAGGCCTCTCGCCCATGGCAACATGGTCGTGGTGGGTTACATCCGCTGCCGAGGACACCCGCCGCCCTATGGAAGGCCTGGCTGAGCGGCGATGACGACGCTGAGCCGCAGTCCTCTGTCGTCGCATGATCTTTACCAGGCTGTGAGATGGGGAGCGGCTCTTCGCGTCTGGCGAGGCTCATCGCCTTACTCTCTTGCTCGACTGTCGACTATCGACTGCTCCGAGCTCACGATGCACAGTGCGAAATACACGGCGCCGTTGGTCTAGTGGTATGATTCTCGCTTAGGGTCACACCCTGAAGCATTGCTTGCGAGAGGTCCCGGGTTCAATCCCCGGATGGCGCCCAATCTTTTTGCCTGCGTCCCTCGGCGTTTGGCTTTTTGCTTTCATGAAGTATGTGTTTGTTCATCGCGTGTTGGGAATGTTTGCCGTGGTGGCCTTTCAGCGCAAGAACTACGTGGTGGCGGGGTGATGGGGTGACTACAGTGCGGGGTTCGAGTGGATGAGTCGCCATGCAGAGTGGCACGAACTTTATCCAAGGTGTGATCGTCTCGGTACTTCGCAAAAGCATTGGGATTCAAACAGTCGCCGAGGTATCATTTGTGTAGGGAATAAAATCAACGCTCGATTGTCGTCTCTTCCATAGCAGAAGGATTATACACTTGTTATACACCCTTGTTGCCCAGTCAGGCAATCTATTATAACACCATGAAGCATTGCTGGGCCCGCTCTAGCGAAGCCACTGCACAATCTTCGACACCCGATCAGGGATCAGCCTGCCGACCCCCTGCAGCCCGTGCCGGTCGACGGCTTGCAGCTTCTCGTCTCCTCGGAAGCGAGCGAGACCCGTGTCGCCGACCGCGGCCTTCCCAGGGTCCGTCACCTGCGTGGCCATGTCGTACCCCGAGCGCATCGACCCCACGACGCCGACTGCCGAGTACGAAGGCCCAGCCACGGCAAGCTGGCCGTTGAACGCAGCCGACAGCTCGCCGTCGGCGCGCGCCATGAGCTCGCGGTGCCCGACGTGGTGCTGCGGGATGCAGTCCTTGTTGGTGCGCGCGAGCATGATGCACCGCTCATCCGGGTCGATGCCGAGGTGATCATGGAGGATCTCGCGCACCTTGGCCTTCGCGTCCTCCTCGGCGTACGTGCCCTTCATGAGCACGAACATCTTGGTGCCGTTCGGCTCGTCAAACGGCTTGGGCAGCGCGTCCGAGTCGAAGAAGACACCAAGCAGACCGTCGAGGTCGTTGCTCGAGTTGTCATGGCGCGGCAGGAGATAACCCAGGCCTTGGTACGGGTGGTTGAGGCCTTCCTTGGGATACCAGACGTTGACGGCCGTGATGGTGACCGACTCGGTTGACGCGAGAGCCGGGAGGTGCTTGGGCGCAAGCCTGAAGAGGTGCTTGCTGTTGATGGTGGAGATGACCTTGTCATACGCCGCGGGCGAGGCCCCATCGGCAGTGGAGAGCTAATGAACGAGGTCAGTCAACGTTCGCTCGTCATACTGCAGTGAGTGACGGTGAGGATTGGAAGCCATTCAAATCAGAAGGAAGGCAACGGAAAATTTCGACATCGTTTTTGCGCTTTTCCGACAAGACGATAAAGGTTTACATCCGCAATATTTCATCATGAAAGGCACTGGTTGGTGGTGGTAGAGGGAAGCAAAGTAGAACGTACCATGACCTTGCGGGCAGCTGAGTCGAATTCCACCTTGCTGATGGATTGACCCAGCTTTATCTCGACATTGGGCTTGTCCTGCAGGCTCTTGGCGATCGCCTTGGGAATAGAACCCATGCCCTCGGGGAAGGCGATCAACGCTCCTTGGTGGCTCAGCTTGACCATGTCGCGGACCTCTTCGGTGAGAAGCTGCGTCACCAGAGCGAGTTCATGCGCGGGAAGATGAGCCAGGTGCGGAAGAGGCTCTTTCAGCCAGTAGTTGTGCCAGGGCTTGGGCATGACAGACTGCATGGACAGCCGGTCAATGTCGCCGCCCCATATGCCGTGCAACACAGCCGAGGCAAACTGGTCGACGGTGCGAGACTCGCCCGCCGCCATGCGGAGGAATTCGCCGACAGACATGTCCTTGGGGAGACGCTGATCAGAGCGGTCCGCGAAGGTGCCAAGACGGTTGCGCTTCATACGCCAGAATCCCCTGAGCATGGGCTTCCAGAGAAGCTTGATCATGTTCTTCGGCGTGACGGCGGTGATGTTGCCATCAATGCGGACATAGCGCGTGCCGCCTGGCCTGAAGCTGGGCATGATGTCAAGGTCGTTGAGCTGTAGCAGGCCTTACGTTAGCACATGGCTCGACATGCGCGAGACAAGCGACAAGCGGGAGGAGACAACGCACCAGAGTGAAGAGCACCAGGTCATCCATTTTCCAGGTGTCCCGGGCATAGCTCCGCAGAGTGCGAGGGCCGCGCTCAAACTGCACGACGCTCTTCTGACCATTCTGCTCAAACTCGACCTTTTGAGTGTCTAGCCAGCCACCGATGCGATCACTCGCCTCGTAGACGGTGATCTTAGTGCCGACAGGCACTGACTTGGCAAGGAAGTGTGCCGTCGTCAGGCCTGTGATGCCGCCGCCAATGACGGCGATGTTTTGCGGCTCGCTTGTGGCGTGCGTCGCGAGGCCACGTCGCCGAGCAGGAAAGACGCTCACCGACGTAGCACCGTAGGCCATACAAGTCGGCCGAGACTTCCGCGGCGCAGCAGTCATCAGGGTCCCAGAGGCCACGCGTGTGTACGCGGCTGCGGCGGTGATGCCATGGCTGCGGTGGAGGGCTTTGTTGCAGAGCATGGTGGAGTGGTATGTTCTCAGCATGGACAAGAATACATCTTCGCCGTGTCTATGGACCATTGAGTAGCTCAATGGTTTGAGGCACGGGGTGGGGAGGGGATATAGGATGCTGTTGACAAAAGTCGGCTGATGGGGGGGGGAAGAGGAGGGAGAGAAAAAAAGTTAAGCTTTCCGTGTCGTTTGATGATGAACTGACCTCGCGATCCACTGGAGCTCGGCTACCTTAGCGACCCAATCAAGCCGGGTAGATGCCTGCTGACTAAGTGATCTTGGCACGTACAGTGCGCGGGAGCCATGCCTGGGTGAGAAGTGAAGGCTGTTCTGGATGTATTTTTACAACCACGTCGGCTACTTGGGCAATCAAGCAGGTTCGCCTTGAGATGGGGTTTTATTTCATTATGTCTTGTTTCATGCTACCACAGAATAGAGTTGAGTGACAAAACTTGATGCGAGGTTGCTGGGATGTTGACTACTCTCGTTGTGGATCATGATGTAAGGGTGAGTCTAGCACATACGAATAGACAGCAATTCACAAAATCATTGGAATATGCGTACATGATTAATATGAAGATTAATGTGTGTCTCTTTTCTTAGATACATTTACGTGGTTTGAACTGGATGTTGCTCGTAACTGACGCGAGCAATAAAACAAGGCAGATGACTTGCTTCACACAGGTAGAGTATTATTTGGTTCCAGACACTACTGACAATCGGCAATGAACAGCATCCACAAGGCTCAGCTATACGGCCACTCGCCCTCCTCGGTTAGCCCTGCATCGCATGACATGGCTCAACGGAAGGCTGCCAGTATAGTGTCATATATCACTGCTCACATCACCTCGAGACATCCCGAGTTTGATTATCACGGCAACCTATCGTCAAAGAGAGCACACACAGCGAGTAGCAGCACGCGACGCACAACACAGCAGAGACGGCAGAGCCAGAGGGTAACGTGGACAGAAGATCAAAATTAGGCCATCGCCGGGCCGTCCCCCAACGCCGCTGAATGCCATGGCTCGTGAGCCCGATAGATACAGGTACAACAGGATTTCTTTCATCATTCCATTTCCCCATTCGTCATCTTCCAAGTTTCTCCTGTCCCCCCCTCCCTCCAGCCCCGAGGGCGATCCGGCCCTTTCTCGCCGAGGAGACATACTTTGAAAGAGAACAGTGGCTATGTGTTTTCCCCTTTTCGCTGGTTCCTCCTCCTCCTCCTCCTCCCCCTTTTGATATCTACGTAATCAGCTCCTGCTTCGCGACAACGTCATCCTCCTGTCCCATGGCGCTGTCCTCCGGAATCATGCTCTCATCCCCCTCGCCCTCGAGGACAAACTTGCGCTCGCTGACGTGGGCGGCACCGCCCTCGGGCGTCCAGACCTTGTCCTTGAAGCCGCCCTGCTGGCCCTCGTCGTGCGAGTAGGCGCAGTGGGGGTTCTTGCAGGGGTTGAAGCGGCACTTAACCTTGACGTGCGTGAACTTGCAGCCGGGCGTCGTGCAGCCCGAGCCGTTGCGGCAGAGGGGCATGTCGGGGTGCTTGAAGGGGCACTGCGGGTTGTGGCAGTTGGGGAAGAACTTGCAGTCCTGCTCGCCCTGGTGGGCCAGCTTGGCGGCGGGCGAGGGGTGTCGGCCGACGCACTTTCTGTTCTTGCAGGCGGCACCGAACGTGCACACGTCGTTCATGTCGACGTGCGTGTTCGGCGGCGCCGCTGGCGACTGGTGGCCAAACTTGCAGTCGCGGTTGGTGCAGCGGAGGTTGAACTTGCACACCGTGTCTTCGGGGTTGGGGGGCTCGCGCTTCGACATGTCGACGTCTTCGCCCTCGGCGCCAGCCTCGCCCTCGCCCTCGGGCTTGTTGGTATTGTTGTTGTTTTGATGTTGCCTGTTGTTGCGCTGGGGGCGTTGTGTGCGGTCAAAGAGCGACTTGCCGTGGCGTTGCTGGCCTCCACCGGCGCCGTTCATGATCTGCTGTTGCAGTTGCGCCATCATCTGTGACTGCTGCTGCATCATAGCCATGAGGTCCATCTCTCCGCCCTGGGGCATGCCCCAGCCGGCGTTCATGCCAGGCATGCCGGCAGGTCCGTTGGCGCGCATGTTCATGCCGCCCATGGCGTTCATGCCGGCCTGGATGTTGGCGGCGCGCGCGTTCATGCCGCGACCGCCACCGCGCATGTTGCCGCGAGGCCCGGTCGGCGGACCGCGGGCGTGCGAGTTGATCCTGTCGTTGCCGCGCGTGCGGTGCAGAACGGAATCGCCTGTCCTGTCGAGAGCCTTGCCAAGCATGCGCTTCTCGCGGCCGCCTCGAGGGTTGTTGCCATTTCGCATGGATCGAGGGCCCGTCGGTCTGTCAAGTCGAGTCAGCAGTGTTCGCGATCGCGTGAATCGAAGAGAGGCAGGGCCAGAAGAGAGGAATACGTACGCGTTGAGCTCGCTGGCATCGCCGGCATTCATGTCAGTGTCCATCTCGACGTTCGCAGAAGCGTCTTGCGCGCCAATGTTTGGCTCTTCAGCGACTTGTGATGGCTGCGCTGCTCCGTTGAGCTGGACGTTCAGGATCTCGACCTGTTCAAACATCCAAGCGACGAGTGTGATCACGATGGGGTCGTTGGCGGGAAGGCCAAGGAGTTCTGTCGAGAGCTCGGTGACAATGTCCTCCTGGTTCTTGCCGTTGACGAGGGTGAGAGTAATGTACTCGGCCAGTGCTGAGGCATCGTTGGACTGTGCGAGGCCGACTTCGATGACCTTTGCCTGGATAGCCTCCGTCAGGGCATCCGCCAGCGGGGTGTGCTGGGCAACTTGTGTAGGCATGGTTGCGAGCGCCTCGTAGGCGGGTTTCGCGTGGATGTGTGGGTCCTTGACGTTTGCGCTGGGGTGCGCAGGATGAAGGAGCTACAGAGCGATCGTATCGAGCAGGATAATTGTCGTTGTTAGATCGCAGATGGTAGCTCGGACGCGCGTGATATGGGGGTCGTTGGGTAAATGAGGGTCGGAAAGGCTGCTGTGTTTTCTGATGACGGCAAATTCCTGGAGCACCTGCAGCCGCACGCTTTGCCTGATCTGGATTGATGTGGCGCACGAAGTCACGTGAGGTTTTGCTTACGGAGAACCCTACTTCTCAGGTGGCAGGCTAAGTCAAGCACGATTAACTGGAGGGGTTGGGCAAAAGAGGACCTTGGGTTCAGAAGCCAACAGATTGAGGCTTTGTATTATTAATATTCTTCGGTCGAGGTTATTCGAAAGTCATCTTGCTCACTGTCAGCCACAGCTGGACACTGAAACTGTCAATGGCGACCGAGATTCGCTTTGCTCGAAGATTCAAGCTGCATCGACATGGTACTAGGTCTAGCTGCGTGCCCCCGTTTAACCTGCTGTTCGTCAACAAAGGACATGGTCCATGCCAGGCAGAGCACAGTTTCGCTTTCGAGGCTCAGGCTTTCTGTACTTGATCAGGTCGTGTATCTGTCAGAACGGGCCACTGTACTGTATATGATCAACCAATCGAACGAGATGATTCAGACTCCCTCTGTTCATCTTCGCTCGGTATCTGCACACCCTTCGGGCCTTGACCTCCAGCCTTTCGACGTAGAGTAGCGCCTCGAACAGCCCCCAACCTCTTACCTGAGACCCACCCTCTTCTTGACTGAATCCACACACCGCGACAATCCCCATTGGCCACTCACCCATCCTCCGTGTCGAATCTGGCACCAGAACTCCCCACCGACAAAACGCCATGCCCTCATATGTCGCACAATTCTCGCAGCTTCCCATCGACCGGCCCCTGGTCCAACCAGGGATTTGTTCACAAAACGCGCCGTTGGTCTAGTGGTATGATTCTCGCTTAGGGTCACACCCTGAAGCATTGCTTGCGAGAGGTCCCGGGTTCAATCCCCGGATGGCGCCTATTCTTTTTGCCCATCTTGCCGTTTATGGGGATCGGTTTGCCTTTTTGGCCCTGTGCTTCAGTCCCCCGGTGCCAAGCTCAGTGATGGTGTCATTCGTGAGCTGTCTCGGCTGAGGAGGGCTTGGGTAGGGGCTGGTGTCGTTCTGTGTTACTTTGGTCTACCATTATCCCACGGTGTTTGTTGGTCACTCAACGTCTTGTCATCTCGTGTGAGGCAAACTCAACGTTTCCATGATGGTCTATCACTCCTCGAACTCTCTCACCATGCACTCTGTTCTACCTGGCTAGTTCGTCACACTTGAATCTCATCAGTGGTTGTTCTCCGTGTTCCTCGACAGTTTTCTGCTCCTTTCGATGCCCCTCCCTGACGTTGCTCCTATATGGCGGCGTTGCTCCTATATGGCCGCGACGGGAGCTCATTATAATAGCTAGCAAGCATAGGTATCGCAGCTTGTAGTGAGTCGAACTTGATCCACTGGCCTAGAGCATTGCAGGTGTCGCACAAACGGGTGGTTAACTCCGCCGTTGGTTCAATGGTTTTGCGCTCAGGATAACGATCAAGTTGAACGCCGTTCAACTTATCAAGACTACACGCTGCTACGTATGGCATTGATGGGATGGGCAGACGACTGGAAGCCCGAGCGGCCTCGAGCAGATGTCCCATCTTCCCGCCGTCGAGATACTGGAGCTCGTTCGTCCTTGAAGTGTTTGGATCATGAAGGCTTTTGCATGTGTGGTTGTTCGCATCCTATGTGTAGCCGCTGGACCGATACAAGTTGAGCTACTTCGGCACGGCTTGTACACCGGTGATACAATGGCTTCACTTTCTGGTCTCCGCAATGGACTGCGTGCGGCGTGCGGCGCAGTTTGTCGATGTGATTTCAACGTAGCTCGCCTCAAAATGCTCGAACATGTCACTTTTTTTCTTCTCTCTCTTTTCACCCCCTTTTAAACCACCCTGGCGAGCTCGCCACGTCACGCGCCCGATACATAATGCCGATCGTGGGAACAGGCAACGTTAGGAAACGTCCGAGCAACGGCAGTCGTGATGCAGGATATGGCACGTCGCTCTCTGAGTCTTGATTTTGAGCCCCAGTTCTAGGGACGATAGTTTCCCTGTCGTGTATCGCTCGACACCCGAACGCAGTACCAGGTCGATGAATTCACCGTCGTATCATATGAAATATCTTTTTCGGCCGCGGGAGCATGATCCATGCCCACTCTCGAAATGGGTATCAGGGCCTCGAGATACAGCGCGAACAGGTACCCCAGCGAGGACGACCTCAGGATCGTCTCCCGCTCTAAACTTGCAAGACCAAACTGCTTCTTCTACTTCGAATCATCTGTGAAGATGCGCGATCTGCGCGAGATGAACATCACAGCAAACTCAGATGTCCTTCGTAGGCCCGAAAGTGGACCAGTGAGCAGGTGCAACCACAAGCGCTGTACGAGATGACTTAATATCACCCGCAGGGACGTGGGCTTCTGGGAGCCACCTGTGCTTTTTGCTGCGTGTGTACATCTAACCCTATACTTCGGCTCTCAGCTCAATTGAAAGACCGAGACAGGCTCGTTCAGCTCTGGACGGGCAAGACGAATGCTGCTTCGATGTCTACAAATGCCCCTTGCGCTCTGATCTGTCGGCTGCACCCCCCAACCCCCAACTACGCCCGACTTTGGGCGATTCACCCTATAAGGATTGCGATGTGTATTTGTGGCATGCCCGCTCTGATCATTTGTCGTGCCAAAGGTTATACTATTCGGCCATGGACCGGCTGATTGGAACCATAATGACCAGGCTAAGCATAAACGAGTCCTCACAAAAAACCATACAAGATCACGACGCGAAGTTCACCTACTGCCAGATGCACCGAAAACTGACTATATTCAGGGGTATCTGAGGTATCACACGGCCAACCCCCTTTTGCCTGCCCGCCTGCCCGCCCACCTGTCCACTACGCTTGGTATCAATGAGGTAATGCATCAACTGCCCGCCAACGTCTACTTAGTCCAGCACCACGACCGGTGCATTCTTGCCGCCCATCGGTCCCTTGGCGCCCCCGCCTTGCTTGCCGAAGCTCGGCTTGCGCATCTGGTTCTGGTTGAGCGTCTGGCTCGGCCGCGGCCGTTGAGGCTGCTGGCCCTGCGAAGCCTGAGACGCTTGCTTCTGGCTCTGGGCCTGGCTCGTCTGCGGTGTGCCGTTGCCCGACCCCTGACTCGAGAAGACCTGGCTGACCTGCGTCGGTAGACCAGCAGTGGAAGCGTTATCGTCGGCCTGGCCGTTCCCGGTCGCATACGCCCTGACGGCGTCGTCTATGGCCTGGATCATCTCAAACACGCCCATGCCCATTTGAGCTACGGCCCCTGTTGTCAGACCCCTCCAGTTCTCCCCCCTAGACTCCCACACGCCCTGAAGAACCGCCTTAAATTCGTCGTCCGCGGGCGATGGTGGGCCACGCTGCTTACGCGAAGTAAACCAATACGGCTGAGCCTGGCGTTCCTTAGATCGCACATCGATCGTAAGCTGGCGCGCGGGGCCTGCTGTACTCGGCAAAGAGTACCGGATAGCAAACCAATCGGCCGCCGGGGTGAGGAGCTCGATGTGCCCCTGACCAGCAGCCTCTACTTCCTCCCATCTTTTTTCGAGAGTGTCAAAGACTCGAAGGATCGGGAGCACGTCCGTCATGTACGCCATCATGACGCGTAGTCCCTTCTCCGTATTAACCACCTTGGTGAGCAAGTCAAGGATCCGTAGGTGCGGGTTATCCGGCTCGAGGATAAGGCGAGTTCCGCTCCGTGACATGTCGAGTATAGCCGTCCATTGCCGGGGCTCGCCAGTTTCTCCGGGAAGGACGATATCGGAGTACGAGAACTTGACTTTGCCGAGGCCGACTTCGGTACATTGAACTGCTCCCTTTGCGCACCGCATGGCATCGAGGAAACCGACCAACCTGTCAATCGACTTGATGTGGTCGGCAAGTGCCTGCAACACGGGCTTCCCAACGGAGCCGCGGATGTGAAACACGAATTGCCCTGTCCTCCGGTCAAAGGCTACGTTCTTGTCGATTCGCGCCTGAAGTTGCTTAAACTTGTGCTTGTCTTTCACTTTCAACACAGCATCAACACAAATGCCGAGTCCGGCCGTGTCGTTTCCAGCAGAGTTGGCTGCAGAGGAACCCTTGGTGCCTCTGAAATGAACCTCAACCGTGTCGGCGGCCCATACCGGAGCGCTCGATTGCACGCGGCGGTCCTGCGCGCGAGTCTGGGCCAATGAGTCTGGTGAGCCCAAGATGTGCGCAAGCCTGATGAAAATGACGGGTATCCTGATCTGCTGTGTCAAGCATCGGCTGTGCATGTCCTTGGCGGTGTGGTCAATACGGTTTCTCTTCAGTTCACCAAGCTCGATGGCCTGAGAAATCATTCCGGCGGCTAAACTCGTCAAGTTGTTCCAGAACTTGTCGTTGAGCTCGGGTTGGCCTTTGGAGAAGGGCAGTTGGATCGAGGTCGTCACTGCACGAGACGCCCCGTTTCGTGTCCTGTTGAGATCAGCAAATAGTTCGGGGTACGTGCGAGATGGCTATCAACTTACACCTCGATCAACCACCATTCGTCCCCGGCCAGGCTCAGAGACATCAAGACGAACCAGTCTTGACCGAGCCCTTGTCGCTGGAAAAAGACGGGTTGGAACGGTTCTCTTGTCTTGATGAGTCGCTTGACCTCTTCGTTTCCGACGGGCATCTTCGTCATCGCCCAGCCACAGCTTCGACCGCGGCGGTTGAACTCGTCCACAACATAGCCCCATCGAATGTTCTCCAGACAGGCAACACCATCCTCGGCCGGATCCTTGCCGCCGTGGTTGATCCGTGTTTCTCCTTGGAGACCGTACCGTGTATGTGGCTGTATCGCA